TATTGAAAATTAAGAATCACATGAGCGAAGGGGTATTCAGGCAGTCGAGGAAAGTGCGGCGCAGCGGGGACTTTCAGAGGGATAGAGAGCAAGAGAAAATGCGTCCAACTACCCGTGCACAAAATACCAAACCCACCGAAGAAATGGAGAGTACTTCTCTAGTCGGAATGCGTAGCCGAGACGATGTAGCGGGTACCCCGTCATCAACGCAACAAACCAGGAGCGAAGTGGAGCTACCCAGTGAGCTGAAGTCGGCTATAGCGGTAGCCCAAGCGCACAAGACCTACAGAGCATCGCTGTCGCAGGAATTGAGCGCTTTTAAAGAGACAATGGAGGCCAGCACGTTAAGTTTCATGCGAGAAATTAGGGAAGTAGTCTCATCCCTGAAAGTGGACAAAGTGAGAAGCGATGCAAGTTCACAAGAAGCGAGATAGGCGAGAATTAATCGGCCACCTGCACCTACTCACCTTTTTGTGGATAATCGAGCGTTGGAATCGGAACATCAGAAACAAGCCTAACAACGACAAGTTCCCGTATCGTGCTGGATGCAATAAACGGGTAATGAGAGTGGACATTATCAAGGAAACCGCACGAGCATCGGGGATACGAGGCAGGAGAGCAGTCACATCCGAAGGTGGGGCCTGATCTTCGACGGAGACCCGAAGGGAATGCCGGTGGCGGAATTTATCTTCCGGTTGGAACATCTCCAGTCACTGTACCAAGTTCCGTGGTCAGATGTACTGAGGGATTTCCATGGATTGGTGAACGGGCAGGCTAAAGACTGGTACTGGATGTATGTGCGTACCTCTGGAGTTCCCGATTGGCCAAATCACAGATGTGGCCTACAGCTGCAGTGTGAGCCCGGCTAGCTCAGTCGGTAGAGCATGAGGCTCTTAATCCCAGGGTGTGGACGATGGCATACGTTGGGCAAAGATAGCCTCCTTTTGCACTCCTGTTTCTCTGAAATGAACCTCGAAACCGTAGTGTGGTGTTATGGTCGGCAGATAGATCGATAGGCGAGGGATATCAATGGGGGACCATCTTCAGAAAAATAGGAAGAAAAAGGGGGGAAAAAAAGAAAGAAAGGAAGAAGAAAAAAAGGAGAAAAGAAAGAAAAAAGGGACCGCGTGCGCATGCGCTGCGACAAGTTTTTTTTTTTTTAAAGAAATTCAAATAAATTGCTTGTAAAAAAATTATGAAGTAATTATACATAAAGTAAAATAATGTAAAATGAATAAATAGCAAACAAAAGTAAAAATTACAAATAAAATAATAAAATAAAAGCATACCAACATACAAATCGGCGGCAGCAACAGGCGAAACTATTCATCGCCACCATCAAGGAGGAAATCGGCCAACTGGACTCAGGACCCAGGAAATCAAAGCCCGGAGACCGTGAGACGACTCGGATTGTACCAACACATCAGTGAGTTTGTTCCCGCCTAATTGCGGCAGAGTGAGCCAAAGGCAGCTGATCGGCTCTAACCAAGGCAATAGTGATGCTCATTTTGTCAATCAGTGATGCGCACTTTTAAAGCCAAATAATAGAAAAGAAAAAAACATAAATGTTTTGTAAGCTTTAAATTAAGTAGATAGATAAAATTGTATTAAATATATATAAGCGAATTTAGTGTTGGCCAACAAAAAGGTTAGGGATCACGATGTTACATGTATCATATGAATTGTAAATTAAATAGTCTGAAAAAAGGAACATGATGTGGTAAATCAATGTGATTGGGTGAGATGAGGGCATAAGAAGCAAACGAGAAAGAAATAATTATGAAAGGGAATTTCTCCAGGAAATTTAGAGGAGGAATCACAAGGAAGGGAGGGACACGCAGGCTGTACAACATCCACACAGCCAGCACAGCAGCGAGCGGACTGGTTTGATGGAAATATTTGTTTTTTTTTTATTTATAAAAAAATACAAATTTTATTTGTTAACTTGCCGCCCAATATATCGCGGTCGAACTACCCCTGAGCCGATAGCTAGCCGGCTGAGCGATATATTGGTGCTTACGACAGGCAAGGCATAACAAATGGCGCCCAATTGAAAAACTAGGCTGACATAAGAACAAATGTCACCCTATTTAAACAACACCGCGAAGCACATTTGTAGCAACAAATGATGCTCGCATGAAAGAAATAAAAAAAAGAATGGATAAGAAATTAAAATAATCAGGAGATTGTACTTGAAATTCTGAGTATTAACAATTTTCATATATTGAACAGGTGGCCTTGACCAACAAGTAGGAGGAATGTTTAGTCGGACCGTGGATGAGCATCCTACTATGCTGAGTCCATCGCTGCCACAAACAGTAGTCCTGCCGATTTGGTCAAGGAACATCTTTCAATTATCATTAGTAGTGAAAGTGAAGTTTAACTGGTCCGTGAGCCGGAGAAAAGGCCGATTGTTACCTGTAGGTGGCGTCATACGGTGTTACCCTCATCTCACCCATCTTAATGTTTAAATTGCATTTCCGAGAGTGCTGAGTATGAATTTTGAGTGTTAGTTTGTTGTGATAAGTCGATTTTCAGTGATAGCTTAGTTCTCAGCATTATTGTTACAAGACAATTTTGACTTAGAGATTAGGTTAGTCAAATATTTATAATATAATTGTTTGAGTTATTTATTGGTTATTTATTTATTTAATACATAGAAGTACAGATAATTATTTTCCGTAGGCATATTTATGCATATACATATCTATATACATATAATTATGAAAATTGTGGGTTAAATAATTATACGTTTTTTTTGTTGAATGTTGAAACATATTGAAAATTAAGAATCACATGAGCGAAGGGGTATTCAGGCAGTCGAGGAAAGTGCGGCGCAGCGGGGACTTTCAGAGGGATAGAGAGCAAGAGAAAATGCGTCCAACTACCCGTGCACAAAATACCAAACCCACCGAAGAAATGGAGAGTACTTCTCTAGTCGGAATGCGTAGCCGAGACGATGTAGCGGGTACCCCGTCATCAACGCAACAAACCAGGAGCGAAGTGGAGCTACCCAGTGAGCTGAAGTCGGCTATAGCGGTAGCCCAAGCGCACAAGACCTACAGAGCATCGCTGTCCCAGGAATTGAGCGCTTTTAAAGAGACAATGGAGGCCAGCACGTTAAGTTTCATGCGAGAAATTATTGAAGTAGTCTCATCCCTGAAAGTGGACAAAGTGAGAAGCGATGCAAGTTCACAAGAAGCGAGATAGGCGAGAATTAATCGGCCACCTGCACCTACTCACCTTTTTGTGGATAATCGAGCGTTGGAATCGGAACATCAGAAACAAGCCTAACAACGACAAGTTCCCGTATCGTGCTGGATGCAATAAACGGGTAATGAGAGTGGACATTATCAAGGAAACCGCACGAGCATCGGGGATACGAGGCAGGAGAGCAGTCACATCCGAAGGTGGGGCCTGATCTTCGACGGAGACCCGAAGGGAATGCCGGTGGCGGAATTTATCTTCCGGTTGGAACATCTCCAGTCACTGCACCAAGTTCCGTGGTCAGATGTACTGAGGGATTTCCATGGATTGGTGAACGGGCAGGCTAAAGACTGGTACTGGATGTATGTGCGTACCTCTGGAGTTCCCGATAGGCCAAATCACAGATGTGGCCTACAGCTGCAGTGTGAGCCCGGCTAGCTCAGTCGGTAGAGCATGAGGCTCTTAATCCCAGAGTGTGGACGATGGCATACGTTGGGCAAAGATAGCCTCCTTTTGCACTCCTGTTTCTCTGAAATGAACCTCGAAACCGTAGTGTGGTGTTATGGTCGGCAGATAGATCGATAGGCGAGGGATATCGATGGGGGACCATCTTCAGAAAAATAGGAAGAAAAAGGGGGGAAAAAAAGAAAGAAAGGAAGAAGAAAAAAAGGAGAAAAGAAGGAAAAAAAACGACAAGTTTTTTTTTTTTAAGAAATTCAAATAAATTGCTTGTAAAAAAATTATGAAGTAATTATATATAAAGTAAAATAATGTAAAATGAATAAATAGCAAACAAAAGTAAAAATTACAAATAAAATAATAAAATAAAAGCATGCCAACATACAAATCGGCGGCAGCAACAGGCGGAACTATTCATCGCCACCATCAAGGAGGAAATCGGCCAACTGGACTCAGGACCCAGGAAATCAAAGCCCGGAGACCGTGAGACGACTCGGATTGTACCAACACATCAGTGAGTTTGTTCCCGCCTAATTGCGGCAGAGTGAGCCAAAGGCAGCTGATCGGCCCTAACCAAGGCAATAGTGATGCTCATTTTGTCAATCAGTGATGCGCACTTTTAAAGCCAAATAATAGAAAAGAAAAAAACTTAAATGTTTTGCAGGCTTTAAATTAAGTAGGTAGATAAAATTGTATTAAATATATATAAGCGAATTTAGTGTTGGCCAACAAAGAAGTTAGGGATCAGGATGTTACATGTATCAGATGAATTGTAAATTAAATAGTCTAAAAAAAGGAACATGATGTGGTAAATCAATGTGATTGGGTGAGATGAGGGCATAATAAGCAAACGAGAAAGAAATAATTATGAAAGGGAATTTCTCCAGGAGACTTAGAGGAGGAATCACAAGGAAGGGAGGGACACGCAGGCTGTACAACATCCACACAGCCAACACAGCAGCGAGCGGACTGGTTTGATGGAAATATTTGTTTTTTTTTTATTTATAAAAGAATACAAATTTTATTTGTTAACTTGCCGCCCAATATATCGCGGTCGAAATACCCCTGAGCCGATAGCTAGCCGGCTGAGCGATATATTGGTGCTTACGACAGGCAAGGCATAACAACATTGCATTAAATTAATATGCAACTTTAATTTATATATTTTAAGAATGACGACTTAAATAAATATTGCAATATAGGTTTTTGTTTGCAAACTATAAATTAAGTTTTAACATCAATATGAGCAGTATTGCTAGAATATCGTACGCTGCGATTATTCCGCATCGATATATCGATAAGAAATACATAAATACCATCAGCATCATCAATACGATATCCGCTTATCAAAAACTTTGAAAAGAACAACAACGCATATAAATCGTTCTTGACCGAACGCTTGAACAGTTCGCATTAGCTGCTGCCGATTGTCAGTGCAGCAGATAACAAATTACGCCAGCTTGTAACATTCGACTAATTACAAATATATACATACATATATTTACATAGCCAAACGCTTGCTCGGCCGCTTACTTTTTTTTTATTGGTTTGTCAGCGCCATTTTGACAAAAGTGTGCAACTCAAAAAGAAAGAAAAATGAAATTCTTGATAGCGACTGTGTCGCTGCTGGCACTTGTGGCCATGACTAAAGCCACAGAGTCCGAGCCGCATATGCTTAGCGATGAATTCATTGAGTTGGTAAAAAGCAAGGCCACAACCTGGACGGTAAGTCAATATGATGACCATGACTATCACATACATATATATATATATATTTATACAAATATATTTCTGTTTTTATTGTTAATCGCAGCCTGGACGCAACTTTGATGCGGCCGTGTCGGAGCATCATATACGTGCCCTGATGGGTGTTCATCCCGATTCGCACAAGTTCACGCTGCCCGAGAAGCGAGAGCTGCTGGGCGCTGATGGTGAGGATAAGGATTTGCCCGAGGAATTTGATTCGAGCAAAAATTGGCCCAATTGCCCAACAATTCGGGAAATTCGTGATCAGGGCTCCTGCGGCTCCTGCTGGGCCTTTGGAGCCGTTGAGGCCATGTCGGACCGCGTAAGTTAACGCCCCCATTTTAAAAAGAACAAAAACAAACAATAACAACTCACATGACGAGGCTCCATTTGCTTATCTCTTTGTGTTATCGATTTTTCCTACAAATTGCGTTGCAATGCTAGCTTCTGGCTGTGTGTATATGTATGTGTGTGTGTACGTGTGTGTTTAAGTACTCTTTGTTTGGACTGTGAATTGGTTGTTGAGTTGCTTCTATTGTATGTGTCTGTCCTTTACAGGTCTGCATTCATTCGAATGCCACTGTTAACTTCCACTTCTCCGCTGATGATTTGGTGACCTGTTGCCACACCTGCGGCTTTGGCTGCAATGGTGGTTTTCCTGGCGCCGCCTGGAGCTACTGGACGACCAGGGGCATTGTTAGCGGCGGCTCCTACAATTCCACAGAGGTAAGCAATACAATTTTAATGCCTTATGCTCAATGCCAAATAATATTCGTTAATTATGAATATTTGCATTTTGCAGGGTTGCCGACCCTATGAGGTAGAGCCCTGCGAGCATCATGTCGATGGCCCACGTCCACCCTGCCATTCAGGCAGCACTCCTCACTGCAAGCACCAGTGCCAGCCCAACTACTCCGTAGACTATGAAAAGGACAAGCATTTCGGCGCCAGCTCATACTCTATCAATCGCAATCCGCGCAACATTCAGCGCGAGATCATGACCAATGGACCGGTGGAGGGTGCATTTACTGTCTATGAGGATTTGATATTGTACAAGACGGGCGTCTATCAGCATGTCCATGGCAAGCAGTTGGGCGGTCATGCCATACGCATCATCGGCTGGGGTGTCTGGGGGGAGAGCAAGGTGCCCTATTGGCTCATTGCCAACTCATGGAACACCGACTGGGGAGACAATGGTTTCTTCCGCATATTGCGCGGCAAGGATCATTGCGGCATCGAGAGCCAAATTTCTGCGGGTTTGCCCAAATTGTGAGCTAACAAAGTGTCTTTCAAATTTGTTTCTCGTATGTTTCTCGGCTTAATTAATGATTTCCACTATGTATATTAACATGTAATGACAACCTAAATTTGTTAGGACCTAAATAAATCAAACAAAATGAAGTGAAAACAACCAATAATAAAAGGCATTTAATTGATTTCTAATGGAACCAAGTGCTCTATGTTTAAGTCACTGCATGTCAACTGCCCTCATTCATATACAACAACTAAATATCAATAGAAGAATCTCATCATTATGCTCCTCCCATATTGGCACTGATCTCTGATTCTCTGGCAGTGAGCCTCAGGGTCGCACTAATCACTCTCCCTCCTGGCAACGCCTCCATCGGTCTTATATATTTTGGAAATATTTGGCAATCAGTCAACCGCGGGGTCGTGAACCGTTTGGGATTTATCATCATCCCCAAACCGAGCGGAGCAGATTTCAATTGGGCAATTTCAACAATTTGCCGAATGCAATTTTAATTTGCTCAACAGCCTACGTAAAGTGTTTCATAAATAATAGCTTGATTGTGAGTTTATCATATATATATATATGATATATATATATATTTGTATATATACATTTATATTTATATATATATTTCAATATTTATTTTTCTCATTTATAACATCAAATAGAACATTTTCTTATATTTATTTTATATATTTTTCTTTTCTTTTGTTGTTATTTTCTTTAAACTGCCAATCGCATTGTCTCTTTTGCGCATGGGGCATTTAACAAACAGGTAACATAATGTTGATCGAAAAATATTTGGACTGCAATTTGGAATGCTCTCCAAATTTGCGGAACACTCTCAACTTGTTCATCACTTATTGTTTCTCTTAGTTTTTATTTACTTCCACTTTTTATTTAATTTTTTTGTTTTTTTGCTGTTGTTGAAAACACACCAACTTATATGCATTGTTTTTGTCTATAGCACATACTTCTCGCAATTTGCTAACATTTTTAATGAAAATTTGAATTATGTTTATGCTTTTTCTTGGTATTGTAAATAGATTGCATCTGGATCGCTGTATTTTGCATTTCATTTTTTGTAGAATTTGCCCTCAATAAATACATATTGTATATTAGTTTTTTTTTCTGTCTGTGTACAGTTACATATATAGTATATATGTTTTTTTGTTCTGTTTTTTTTTCATGTTTTCTTTAATCTCTAACGTTGGACTTTTGCACCCTATATAAAATATTACATTTATATATTTACATATGTATGTATGTATATAGAACAATTGTTGCATATATGCACATATATACATACATACATACATATACAAGTATTATAATGAACTCTTTGTTTTTTTGTTTATTGTTTGTTGTTTTTTGTTGGATTTGCTTTGTTATTTGTTTTCTGGGTTTGGGGGGTGTTTTGTTCACATTTACGTTTCACACACACTTACACACACACGCACAACTAGGTATGTATATATGTGTGTATACTATGTATAACATTGTCAGCGGGGGGCTTGCTTATCAGCTAAATGGTGGGTTAAAATATCAATACAATTTAAATTCAATTATCATTTTGGTTTTGTTTGGTTGATTTCTAGCTTGTTCATCTTTCTGAAGTACAATTAGAATCAGAATTGAAGCGATATGTATGTAAATACATACATATAATGTTTTTAAAAGAGATGAAATGCATTCGATTTCAGGAAGCGCATTATATATGTAGTGAAAAGAAGTAGGCTATGGAATTATAGAAGATAGATCGAAAGAACTCTACAGTGGAAACATTGCACACATACAAATACATACAACTACACATACATAACGTAGCTTATCGATTATGTTTTTTTTTTATTATTTTCTTTTTTTAAGCTGCCTTTGAACTGCACTGCTTTGAACCATTTTCCAGAACAACTGTCGAATGCGAAACATTTTGGGATATTGTCTCTGACACCAATAATTAATATAAATGTAGATTCAATTATCTGATATTTGTTCGAATTGAAATGTGAATTAAGGAACATATTCTTAAGATATTTTAGAACAC